CTCTTGGAGTACTCACTGGTCTTTTTATTTTGGACCTCTTTGGTCTCTGCTCAAGCTAGCTGTCCAAATGGTTTTGTGATCCATGCCTCTAGATAACCCTCTCCAACATCTTAGGCTCAACTATTCATCTATGAGCCTGTGTCACTCACCAGCCGCCCAGACTTCCAAACTTTCTCAGAATCCAACTACTCCAGCACAACCTAATAAATGCCTGCTTTACTAGGGTTGATTCCTTGCCTGCATGTGTTGCCATATAAGTTGATAGTAGATGGAGTAAGTCAGGAAAAGTGCCCATAATACTATAAAATTTCCAGACAGAACAAACATTAAAATGATTGACTTTTTCCTGTTCTCCATCTCTGGATCTTTTTCATTATGTCTCTTAGTGTTTGTATGTGTCTGTTTACATTTACATGTATACATTGATTGATTGATCTACTTACCTCCCGTACTCAGGAACCTGAAAAATTATTATACAGAATCATGGAATCCCTACAGTCTGGAAGCAGGCCATTCAGCCCATCGTACATACACCAACCCTCTGAGGAACATCTGACTCAGACCCACCCCTCCCTACCCCGCATTTCCCATGGCAAATCCACCTAACCTTAACATCCCTGGACACTATGAGCAATTTAGCATGGCCAATCCACCTAACCTGCACATGTTTTGACTGTGGAAGGAAACCGGAGCACCCAGAGAAAGCCCACGCAGACAAGGGGGGCACATGTAAACACCACACAGATAGATGTCCAAGGGTGGATGTGCACCATGGTCCCTGGCACTGTGAGGCAGCAGTGCTAACCACACAGCTACCATGCCACCCCATAATACTACTAAACTGTTGCTTTCCCTCATCAACAGCAAGTGCCCACAAAATATCATTTTTGTCTGGTAATGGATACTGGAATTTGTTTTCTGAGTCAGTCAAATGGTCAGTTTCTCTAACAATTGCAAAAGTCGTTTGAGAAGCACAATCAATGGGTACTTTGCCATTTCCTTCAACTGTGCTCTGAATTTACTCTGTGTGATTGAATATATGCAAGTGTTAGTGCAACAACTTAGGAGCTGAAGCATAAATCCCAATTCGCGAACAATGTAATATCGTCCAACTGACCTGTTTGTCAGCCATATAATCTGATAATAGATGGAGTAAAACAGGAAAAGTGCCCATAATACCATAAAATTTCCTGATAGAACAAACATTAAAATGATTGATTTGTTCCTGTTCTCCATCTCTGGATCTTTTTCATTCCGTCTGTTAGGCTGCAAATGAAGTATCTGGCGAGCTCTGCTCGTAGTTAAGATTTGCCTGACGGTTAAAACATTGAACAACAGAACCAGAACAAAAGGAACACATGGGGTTACAATATAATGTATGAGTTCAATTGCTCTCCAAAGTTGTGAAAAATGAGTATTTGTCTTTACTACGCAAAACCAAGGGTCATTAAAGAGCCTATATTCATTTGTATACATAAAGTACCAAAAAATATTCTTCAAACAGCTTAGCACTGAAACTGTTCCTATTACAAGAAGTACTGTTTTCTCGTTTGAGTATCTACTTTTCAGCTTATGACAGCAAATCACGACAAATCAATCAAAAGTGAAAGTTGCAGTGAATCAGACAGAACAATCAGTTGTTGCATATAGCAGGATGGCATGGATGTTACATGCTTTAATGGACTTCACAAAGTAAAGCTTCCCCAGATATCTAACAGGAATCTGTCTCAGTGTTAGATCAAAGATAACGACCAGTAGATCCACTGATGCCATGGCCAACAGATAACAAGTGATGCACTTTGAGAGGCCGCACCTTCCACGAGATAGGATGGCAATACCTACTACATTAACTGTAAGGAACGAGATTAAACATGACAATTTAACATCTGTTCAATACAGAGAAGGGAGAAGGCAGAATTTTTGTTATCCATTCAGGTTAAGTTGCTACAACAGTTCCTCAGTCCTCCATGGAAAAAGGCATCGAATGAACTGGCACTGAGGATGACATGCATCCAATGGATCAAGTGTCTGTGGGTCCCCGGCAACTATTCCAGTTTAAAAAAACGAGCTTCCAGGAGACACTCCTACATATGTTCTGATCCTGGGCACTGCCCAACTTTCCACACACAGCAGAAAGAGAACACCACAGCCTTGAGCTCCCTTGTCATCTCTTCCCCTTTTAAATCAAATCCGCAGATTGCCCTCAAAATAAAGCAAAAATAGTTAACTGAGTGCCCTTCTTCCCTGCACTATTGCCCTAAATAAACTATAAAACTACAATGGTCTAAGGTGTAAGTTGGCAATGATAAATTGGGAAATATCACATAAGGGATGACGGGATGGAGAATAGGCAATTGCAAACATTTAATTAGTGCATGGATAAATTGTGACAGTTGTTCATTTGGGTCTGGCACAAAAGTAAAATAGGAAATGTAGCTAGTGATTGGGAGGAACTGAAGGAAGTTGGTACTATTTGGGAAAATGTGCTGGGGAAACTGATGGGATTAAAGGATGATAAATCCTCAGAGCTGTATTGTCTGCATCCCAGAGTACACAAGGAAGTGGCCCTAGAAATAGTGGATGCATTGCTGAACTTTCTGCTCTGGAGCTGGTGATTTACTATGACTGGACCTGTGCTATATCCAACAGGTAAACCTTTGAATGTTTCACCCTACTCAGGGTTACAGTTGCCTCAATGCAGAACTGGAAGTGGTCACATGCCTCATCAGCCTGGGTCAGGAGAAGGACTTTGTCAGAGAAGGCAAATACATTATGGGTGTGGTCTCCAAAATGACTTGTTGGGAGGAAATCCATAATTGGATACAACTGCACTACATAAACATCAATCATCCAGTTTCAATCAATAGGTAGGAAAATAAAGCTTTATGATCTAATCAGAAGTCAGGCAGGCCTCCTCCTGTACTGAAAAAATTCCATGATTCTCTGATTCAAACTTTCCAATTACTCATCCTCCAAACACCACATGTCCTGCAAATGGCAGAATCTCCAGATATTGCATTGGACTATCAGCCTACTCAGAACCCATCGAACCAGAGTGGAAGCAAATTGCCCTCGATGCTGAAGTATTCCCACATTACCTTGGGGGGGGGGGGGGGCGGGATTGACAGAAACCATAAAATCTTAGTCTTATGTGCTTTCCTTCTGAAATAGATTGCCCTACATTCTATCCTACCAAATTTCACAAACAAAACCTTTCAAACACAAGAGAGTTTTAAGTTAAACCATATTTGTTAAACTAGTCAGTCCATGTAATCCTTCAAGGCCTGATGCTATCATGGTAATTCAGCACTATACTCCTTATCAAGGTCATTCTGTTTTGACAAGCATGTTCTGTCACACAATAGCACTCAGTTACTTTGTGAACACAATTATCATTCTCATTCTAAGCACGTTCACATATCTCCATTTATCCATCCATCAGTCGCGCACTCTGATCCTTAAGCAATCTGAGTCTTCTCCTGGATAGAATCATAGAATCCTTGCATTGTGGAAGCAGGCCATTCTGCCCCTTGAGTCTACACTGACTCTCTGAACAGCATCCCACCCAGACTACCCCCTCCCACCCTATCCCTTTAATTCCTCATTTCCCACGGCTAATCCACCTAGCCTGCACATCTATGGATATGATGGGCAATTTAGCATCAATTTATCATTATCCATATCAAATTGATCATATCTGCATGGTGTAAATGTACCATTGCAAACACTTGGAGGTCTGTTTCTTTCTTCTTTTCTTTTAAGAGGGCACATGATACAAGGCAGAGGAAGAGAACCTGAGATGAACTTACAAAACATTTCTCAATGTGACTGCAAGTGAATTCCAGAAAACTGTGTGTCAAACAATATTCTGTCATTTGAGACAACAAGGTGCAGAGCTGGATGAACACAGCAGGCCAAGCAACATCATAGGAGCAAAAAGGCTGACGTTTTGGGCCTGGACCCTTCATCAGAAATGGGGGAGGGGAAGGGGGTTCTGAAATAAATTAGGAGAGAGGGGGAGGCGAATAGAAGATGGATAGAGGAGAAGATAGGTGGAGAGGAAACAGACAGGTCGAAGAGGCGGGGATGGAGCCAGTAAAGGTGAGTGTAGGTGGGGAGTTATGGAGGGGATAGGTCAGTCCAGGGAGGACGGACAGGTCAAGGGGGTGGGAAGAGGTTAGTAGGTAGGAGATGGGGGTGCGGCTTGAGGTGGGAGGAGGGGATAGGTGGGAGGAAGAACAGGTCAGGGAGGCAGGGACAAGCTGGACTGGTTTTGGGATGCGGTAGGGGGAGGGGAGATTTTGAAGCTTGTGAAATCCACATTGATACCATTGGGCTGCAGGGTTCCCAAGCGGAATATGAGTTGCTGTTCCTGCAACGTTCGGGTGGCATCGTTTCAAAATCTCCCCTCCCCCCACCGCATCCCAAAACCAGCCCAGCTTATCCCTCCCCCCCTAACCTGTTCTTCCTCCCACCTATCCCCTCCTCCCACCTCAAGCCGCACCCTCATCTCCTACCTACTAACCTCATCCCGCCCCCTTGACCTGTCCGTCCTCCCTGGACTGACCTATCCCCTCCCTAACTCCGCACCTACACTCACCTTTACTGGCTCCATCCCCGCCTCTTTGACCTGTCTGTTTCCTCTCCACCTATCTTCTCCTCTATCCATCTTCTATCCGCCTCCCCCTCTCTCCCTATTTATTTCAGAACCCCCTTCCCCTCCCCCATTTCTGACAAAGGGTCTAGGCCCTATGATGCTGCTTGGCCTGCTGTGTTCATCCAGCTCTGCACCTTGTTGTCTCGGATTCTCCAGCATCTGCAGTTCCTACTATCTTCTGTTATTTGACTTGTTTTCGGCTACAATTCAAGTTTGATCATCTTCATTAATGTGAAGTTGCAACATGCTTAAATCAGTAGTACTAATTCGTAGCTTGACTCTTGTTTGTGAAGCAGGAGTCCACGGAAACTGGGACAAATTCTCATTCTTTTCCAGGCACTTATCTCAGAGCAGCAACAACCGGGATGTGGGGTAACTGGTAAGACTATACATCTGGCACGGTGTGGATTCAGGCCTAGTCTGTACAGGGCACTTAGCATGGAACAGAACCAGCAGTCGGGAGGCAGGGAGAGACACTGTAACTGGTAAGCCTCTAAATATTGCACATTGTGGATTTGGGCCTCGTCTTTATAGGGGACTTAGCTTTGAGCAGCAGCAGCAGCAGCTGGGATATGGGGATGGACACAATAGCCTGTGGCCTGTATATAAATCAAACAAATTCAATAAAATGAATCCAGAAACAGCAGTGGCCAATTGGCTAGTAACAATGGACCTGAATGCAGATGAGGCAATGCTGATTCAGAGCTCATAAGTGGAGGTTACAGGAAAAGTTTTGGACGAAAACACAGGAGTTAGAGGCAAATTGGTCCTGAGTCTATTCAGGGGTAGGTATCTGCCAATCACTGGTGAACTGGGGTTGATTTAATCTTCTATCCTTGCTCATCAGGCAATTAAAGTTGCAAAATTTCAATAATAGCACCCTTTACCCTTTAAATAAACATTGATATTATTTGCTGTCCAGTGTCTTATCTATTGCCTGATGTTGAGTCTCTTTTGAATCTAAGAGAGTTTAAGGGGTTAATTTGTAACTATTTAATTAGGAGCATGTAACTAAATTAAACAAAGCCTAAACTTAAGTATTCCATTAAAACTCACAACTTTTGGCATTCTAGATGAAGGGAAGACCACTGAAAGGTCAAGAAACCTGAGTAATGAAATATCAAGTGTGGAAGGTAAGGTTGAGCAACACCTTATGTGACTATATTTTAATGAAAAACTGTCAAACAGAAGAATCAAACTCTGGTCTTAAATTGGTCCTTTTTAAAATGCAACCCTTAGGAGACTAAAACAACTTTAAATAATGAAGAAGTTACGACCTAACTTGAAACTCATAGTCACGTCCTAACTACTTTCTTCTTTCAAATTGTTTTCTTTTTAATCAACATGTGAATTGAGGAGTTTTGAATAACTGAATATAAATGAAGGTAAAGTACAGACCACTATTCACTACTTCGTGGAAACATTTACCTTCAATGTGTTAATTAGTTTTCCAACGTAATAAAAATTCTCCAGTTTTTTTTATGTTTTGCAATTCAATATCAGAAGTGGGAATGTTTAGATTTTTCCAATTTGTGTGGAATGATGTTGCAACCTCTACACAGCTGTGGACAGCTGGCAGGGTATAAATTAATGGCACTAACAATCTATCTCCTTGGAGTTTAATGTTAATTATTGCAGGCGGCACAAAGGACAGGATCATTTCATTCAGAAAATGAAAGACTTTTTATAATGTTGACAAGATATGTTATCTGATCATTGCCATTATTGGTGCTCCTGGTAAGTGACAGTAGTTGTGCAAAGCTGAGGTTTGAGCTGGTCTCTGTATTTACTTTATCACTGATGATGTTACATGCTGCTCTAGTGGTCATATTAATGCAGGCAGCCAATTAGTGACAATTTCTTGAAGCCGTATGATTTAAATTCTCTCAACAGTTCTTTTATGGGCATGGAGAGCACAGCATTTATTGCCAATCACTCATGACCCCTTGGGTGGGAGTGGTGTGTGGGCATCTTTATCAACTGACATCTGTGAATTTCGATATGCCCATAGTACTTTAGGAAGAGAGTTCCAGGATTTTATGGCAAAGGAAATAACAATTCAGGATGGTGAGTGGCTAGCTCAAACACTGATCTTAACGCTAATCCAAACCCAAACCATAACCCTAACCCTATTGCACGTTGTGGTGTTCTCATGTATCTGCTGCCCCTGTCCTTCTAGAGTTGGAAAGTATTGTTGAATGGGCCTTACAGGACTGATGCAGTGTATCTCACAGATTGTACAGGCTGCTGCCACTCTATGTCAGTGGTGGAGGAAAATTAATGTTTAGTGATAACATACTAATTAACTGGAAATCTGATGTCCTGGATAGAGTCTTGAATTTTGTTCCAGCTGCACTCATCTGGGCAAGTGGAGAGTATTCCATCACACTCATGACTGATGCTTTTTAAATAGTGTGCCAGCTTTGGTGGGTTAGTAGATGGTACTCACTTCAAAATTCCTACCCTCTAACCTACTCTTGTAGCCACAATATTTATATGTCTAGTCCAGTTTCATTTCTGATCGATGGTATCCCACAGGAAGTAAATGTTGGGGATTCATCATGGCAATACCATTGAATATCAAAGTCTCAAAACTGAACAATGAGATAAAATGATGCTCATGGGATTAAAAAAGGCAACAGCAGAATGGATACAACATTGGCACAGAGACAGACACACATGAGTTGTTCAGCAGCAGAGAGGGGTAAATCATTCTATTGCCTGCAGTGTACTGGACATCTAGAAGCTGACACTGGGACACACGCATAAACTGTACAACAGCAGATGGGAGGGAATCATTCTCTGTGACCTGCAGTGTGTTGGACACGTACAATGAAGAAACCTAAAACAGCTGACTGATGATGGGATGGAACAATTTAAATGGGGATGTAGGGGTGGCAACAGAGACAGATTTGCACACACAAGAATGCAGAATTATCAAATGTGGGCGTTGCTCAATCAGGAGCCAATGTATGTCAGTGAGCTCTGGAAGTGCTGGGGAAATGGGACTCGGCGTGAGGAATGATAAAGGACAGAAAATGAACAATGGGAATTAACAGGTCATTTTCAGGTGTCAGGCTAGTATGACAGGCTGCCACAAGGACCATTGCTCAAGACATAGCTATTTATAATCTCCATCAATGATTAAAATGGAATTTTTGTGTGTTACATTTTCTGATAAGACAAAGTTAGGAGGGTCAGTAAACTACAAGGAATAGCAGAGAGAGGTTGGAAAGGAGTTTGAAAGGGTTCAATGAGTGAGTGAGGAAGAAACAGTCTGTAAAGCATAATGTAAATACCTGAGGGTCTTGAATTTTAAGCAGAAAGAAGGGAGGTTTGCCTCCAGGTTGTTTGATTTGGAGATTTGAACTCACGTAAAATAGAAACATAGAAGATAGGAGCAGGAGGAGGCCATTTGGCCCTTCAAGCCTGTTCTGCCATTCTTCACAATCATGGCTGATTGTCCAACTCAACAGACTAATCCTGCTTTCTCCCCATAACCTTTGATCCTATTCACCCCAGGTGCTATATCTAGTCACCCCTAGAATACCTTCAATGTTTTGGCATCCACTACTTCCTGTAGAAATGAATTCCACAGGCTCACCACTGTTTGGGTGAAGAAATGTCTCCTCATCTCTGTCCTAAATCGTCTACCCCAAATCCTCATACTGTGACCCCTGGTTCTGGACACACCCACCATCGGGAACATCCTCCCTGCATCTACCCTGTCTCGTCTTGTTAGAACTTTATAAGTCTCTATGAGATCCCCCCTCATTCATCTGAGCTCTAGCAAAAACAATCCCAACCTAATCAATCTCTCCTCATACATCAGACCTGCCATCCTTGGAATCAGCCTGGTAAACCTTCACTGCACTCCCTTGAGCGCAAGAGCATCCTTCCTCAGAAAAGGAGACCAAACAACACACAATATTCTAGGTGTGGCCTCACCAAGGCCCTGTATAACTGCAACAACACATCCCTGCTCCTGTACTCGAAACCTCTCACAATGAAGGCCAACATACCATTTACCTTCTTTACCACCTGCTGCACCTGCAAGCTTACCTTCAGTGACTGGTGCACAAGGACGCCCAGGTCCCGCTGCACACTCCCCTCTCCAGATTTAAAACCATTCAGGTAGTAATCAGCCTTCTTGTTTTTGTTTCCAAAATGAATCAGCTCACATTTATCCAAATTGTACTGCATCTGCCATTGATTTGCCCACTAACCCAACATGCTGAAGGATCTCTGCATCCTCATCACAGTTCACCGTCCCACCCAACTTGGTGTCATCTGCAAACTTTGAGATATTACATTTTGTTCCTTCATCCAAATCATTAATATATATTGTGAATAGCTGGGGTCCTGGCACCAATCCTGTGGCACCCCACTAGCTACTGCCTGCCTATCTGAAAAGGACCCATTAATCCCTCCTCTTTGTTTCAGGACGTATTAATTCTTGCTGTTTGTAAGAATGATTATGGTTGGCCATCCAAATGCTTTCCGATGTAGGGCTGTGTGACCCTCAGAATGGTTTCTTTAATAAACTGTGTTTAAATAAAATTTACCTGGAGCTTCCAGCTGCCCTGTGACGTCATATGACATGAACAGTATTGGCCTTCAACTATTGTGACGCAATAATGTAGCTCCTGGAACATGAATGTGAATTAGTCGTGGGTCACGTGGTACTGAATCATTCAATGAAATGTTGTTACATCTCTAGCTACTTACATTTGTACATTATAGTCACAGGCACTTCTATGTCTGACCTCAGCTTAAGCAATTGTTCTGCTTCTATACTTTATTTCTGATATTCATGATGCTTTTTCTTGGTGAAGAAATGTTGTGTTTTGGTGGCTGAATTTACTGAACAATAACCGAAAAATGGGATTCAAATCCAGTCTGTGTCTTTTCTTTTCCTCTCAGATCCTTTCTCGTTGTCTCCAAGGGAGGGTTGAGAGCAAGTCCCGGATCCGCCTTGTGACATACAGACTGGAATCAATCTCCCCAGTGGCCTGCAAGTTTAAATCCGAATATACAAGAGGGGAAAGCGAAATTGAGACAATGGGGTGGAGTAGGGCAGAATGAAGGAGAGGGACAGACAGAAAGACAGTGAGGGAGTTGTTCAGAGGGATGGGGTTGGGGAGGGGGGCGCATAGACACATAGACATGAACTTTTGACCTCCGTTATCATAATTTATGATAGTTGCAGTATGATCTTTTCCTTCATCCTACACAGTAACAGTATATTGGATGTGGGCTTGTGGCACAACGGTAGTGCATCTGACTCCAATTTAAAAAGTTGTGTGCTCGAATCACATCAGGCTTACTGTGTTTGAGTGCAGCTCAAACCCCAAAATGTATATAAGGGTAGAGTTTTTTGTCTGTGGATGCTTATTGATCAAAATCCTTCCTCGGCTACTTTCATGCAAAGATTTGCTGTCAGGTTTATTTGGGAACAATGTTTCAGGGATGTAGTGTGCCCATTGTTTGGGTAAAGGCTCAGTTCCCCCAGTGTGAGAAATAAAACACTAACTGTTCATCATGGAGTTCAAACACACAGCCGCCTCCCTCTGGGCAGCCGCTTCATTCAGTTAGAATCTTAGAATCCCTACAGCATGAAAGCAAGCCATTGGACCCATTGAGTCCAAGTCAACTGTCCAAACAGCATTCCACCTAGATCCATTCCATTTCCCTAATCCCAAAATTCTGCAGTTAACATAGCTTAACCCTTCCAGCCTGCACATCCCTGGACACCACAGACAATTGAACATGGTCAGTTGGTAGGTAGTGGAGCGGATAGGGTGCAAGAGAAGACAGACAGGTCAAGGACCTCCCAGTCGTGAACCACTTCAACTCCCTCTCCCACTCCCTGGATGACATGTCCATCCTGGGCCTCCTCCAGTGTCACAACGATGCCACCCGGAAACTGGAGGAACAGTGCCTCATATTCCACCTTGGAAGCCTACAACCTAATGGTCTCAATGTGGACTTTACTAGCTTCAAAATCTCCCCACTCCCGACCTCATCCCAAGACCAGCCACCCCTCTCATCCCCGCCTCATTGACCTGTCCGTCTTCCCTCCCACCTATTGGCTCCTCCCACTTCACTGACCAATCCCCAACACTACCTACTGACACTCACCTTCACTAGCTTCATCCCCGCTTCCTTGACCTGTCCGTCTTCTCTCCCACCCTATCCGTTCCACTATCTACCTGCTATCACCGTCCGCCCCTCTCTATTTATTTCAGAGCCCCCTTGCCTCCCCCAGTTCTGAAGAAGGGTCCAGACCCGAAACATCAGCTTTCCTGCTCCTTTGATGCTGCCTGGCCTGCTGTGTTCCTCCAGCTCCATACTGCGTTATCTCAGAGTCCAACATCGGCAGTTCTTACTATTTAACATGGTCAGTCCACATAACCTGCATATTTTTTGACTGTGGGCGGCCCGGTGACTCACAGTGCCAGGGAGCTAAGTTCGATTCCAGTCTCAGGTGACTGTCAGTGTGGACTTTGCACATTCTCCCGCGTCTGCGTGTGTTTCCTCCCACAGTCCAAATATGCACAGTTCAGGGGGATTGGCTATGCTAAATTGCCCACAGTGTTCAGGGATGTGTAGGGTAGGTGTGTTAGTCATGAAAAATGCAGGGACAGGGTGGGGGTGGGGTGGGTCTGGGTGGGATCACCTTCGAAGGGTTGGTGTGGACTACTTGCGTCAAATAGCCTGCTTCCACACTGTTGGCATCCTATAAGGAAACCGAAACAATGTGCAAACTCCACACATCCAGTCAAATGTGGCTCCCTCGTACTGTGAGGCAGTACTACTAACCACTGAGTCACGGCGCCAGTAACAGCGGGATGTTAATAACATATGCACACCCAGATTTATTTTTCAATCTATCAGGAGATTCCAGCTCCTTCTGTTATAGCAGGTGACAGTGAGTTCAAAACAAAATGTTTCCAAACAACAGAAATTCCTTTCCTCTCACTGGAAACAGTTTAAAGTGATCTTTATTCAACAGCAGAAGCAGAAACCATAGTCTCACAGGCCCTCTTCTCAATAACGGCGAGCCAGAATTTTATAATCTGTGTCAGTAAAATCCAACGGCAGATAATGAGTTCAGTTCCAGTTTTAACAAAAACAGAAGTTGCTGGAAAAGCTCAGCAGGTCTGGCAGCATCTGTGAAGGAAAATCAGAGTTAATGTTTCGGGTCCGGTGAACAGGGTAATGCAGGTGGGTCTGGATGGGATCATCTTCGGAGGGTTGGTGTGGACCTGTTGGGCCAAATGACCTGTTTCCACACTGTTGGGATCCTATAATGAAACCAAGTTCTGACAAAAGGTCCCGACCTGAAATGTCAGGTTTCCTTTTCCTTTGATGCTGCCTGGCCTGCTGCGTTCCTCCAGCTCCACACTTTATTATCTAGTTTCAGTGCTAATCTGTTTGAAGAATATTTTTGGTACTTTATGTACACAAATGAATACCGGCTCGCAAACGATCCTTGGTTTTATGTTGTAAAACCAACATTATATTGTAACCTTATGTATTCTGGTTCTGTTGTTTAATGTTTTAACCGGCAGACAAATCTTAACTACAAGCTCCCAGAGACTTTGCTTGCAGCCTAATGTATGGAAAGAAAAAGATCCAGAGATGGAGAACAGGGAAAAAAAAAATCAATCATTTTAATGTTTGTTCTATCAGGAAATTTCATAGTACTATGGGCGCGTTTCCTGACTTAATCAGTCTATTATCAAGTTATATGACTGACAAATGGTTCAACAGGACGACATTATATAGTTTGCGAATTGGGATTTATGCTTCAGCTCCTAAGCTGTTGCACTAACTCATGCATACATGCAATCACACAGAGTAACTACAGAGCACAGTTGAAGCAAATGACGCAGTACCGTGACTAGTGGTGTTCTGCAGGGATCCTTTCTGGGACCTCTGCTGTTTGAGATTTATATAAATGACTTAGATGAAAATGTAGATGGGTAGGTTAGTCAGTTTGCAGATGATACAAAGATTGGTGGAATTGTGGACTGTGTAGAAGGTTGTTAAAGGGTACAGTGGGATATAGATCAGTTGCAGATATTGGTGGAGAAATGGCAAATGGAGTTTAATCTGGTTAAGTGTGAGGTGTTGCATTTTGGGAGATCAAATGTTGAAGAAAGGTTTGCAGCTAATGGCAGGACTCTGAACAGCATTGATGTACAGAAAGATCTTGGGTTTCAAGTCCAGAGCTCCCTGAAAGTGGCCACGCAAGTAGATAGGGTGGTAAAGAAGGCATATGGCATGCTTGCCTTTATTGGTCAGAGAATTGAGTACAAGAGTCAGGATGTCATATTGCATCTTTAAAAGATTTTGGTGAGGGCACAACTAGAGTATTGCATTCAGTCTGGTTGCCATATTACAGGAATGATCTGGAGGCTTTGGAGAGGGTGCAAAAGAGGTTTACCAGAATGCTGCCTGGATTAGAGGGTATGAGCTGTAAGGAGAGGCTAGAAAAACTTGGGTTGTTTTCTATTGAGCAGTGGACACTGAGGGGAGACATGATAGAAGTCTGTAAAATTATGAAATGCATAGCTAGGGTTGACGGTCAGAATCTTTTACCCAGAATTGAAATGTCTAATTCTAGGGAGCATGCATATCTGGTGAGGGGGGAAAGTTCAAAGGAGATGTGAAGGGCAGGTTTTTTTTTATTTTTACAGAGTGGTTGGAGTCTGGAACACACTACCGGGGTGGTGGCATCATGTTCAGCACAACATTGTGTGCTGAAGGCCCATTCGCATGCTGTACAGCTCTATGTTCTGTGTTCCATTCAATCCCTCCTGCCTATTTTACAGGAAGAGAACGAACGTAGTCAGCACATCAAGCTATTAAATAGGAACCAGGAGTCATTGAATCAGGTCCTTGAACCTCTTCCCTGGGGCTGAGAATAGGCCTTTCAACGCCTCCAGTAACTAGCTCAGGAATAGGAAGAGGCCATTCAGCCCGTCAAGTCACTTTACAGAGAAATAGGAGGAATTCATTGATGCTCCAGCATAACAAACCAATGAATCAGGGACTGCACAGATAGACTGCTCCATATTGTTCCTCCCGGCTCAATTGCTAATAGTACACACGTGTTTCTTTAATGTCATTTGCTGACGGTCAGGAGGGAAAGTGGATGGTTTGTGACAATCTCAAGGAGGTATCTTCCATCTCTGAGAAGACTGACTGGTATTCTCAATGGAGAACAGAAGCTGGTAGGAATGGCATACTCTTTCAGAAGTAAGGCATTGTGGCTGCTGACTGATTTGTGAACAACATGGCTTTTGGTGCAGGGTCACACACCAACTGTACATTGAGGTGGTGAGAGTTCATTCAGAGCCTGGAGCTCTCCCTCAACAAATATGGGGACTCCACAGAGTTATGTAAACTGTTGAGAATCACATTTCATTGGGGAAAAAAATCATGCAATTTCTCTATCTGTGTCTCTTTTTGGACATAATGAGTATTGGTCTATAACCTTCAAGTTTCAATGCAATCACGTCTTATTCTTTCACAGCACTACAGATTAAACATTCATTTCCTTCACACTGTCCTCATGATGCCATCATCCCAGGGATTCATCTGGTGAAACTCCTTTGCACTCTCTCTGAGACAAGGAGATCATTCCTTATAAAGGTGAAAAAATCTTTACACATTGCCACAAATAATTTCTCAAGAACACTACAACTGCAGGAAAGTATCTTTATTCCTATACTTGAATCATTTTGCAATGAAGAGCAACATACCACTTACCGTCCTGATTACTTGCTGCACTGTATGAATTCTGGTAATGACTCACGACAAAGAACATCCAGGTCCTTTTCGACAACAGCACTTCCCAACCCCTCACCTTCTAATAAGTACAAAATGAGAAGGATGATCTTTGTTGCCCACATCCAAACCATTTCTTTGCCTTGCGAATAGCCGTACTCCAACATTGATACATGTGACAACCTATGACTAATAACTTTCAGTCCAGAGCAAGTCCCTACTCTGTATTTTCTCCGTCATTCAATTCTCAATGCATTGATTAT